TTTTTTTTTTTTTTTTTTTAATATAAGTAGCAGCCAAAACTGTCAGTTGGACTTCCGTGTTGGAAGAAAAATCTTATTTTGGTAATACATTTCTCTTCTTCAAACAGTGTTTCTCAGCTTCTTGGCTTGCCCTTTTTTTGTCAAAATCTGAATGCCTGTTACAGTGAACTGGAATCACAGAAATACTATACCTCTCTATACATAAAGCCCAATTCCCAGATTTTAAGAGAAGCTAATACTTTCCAACGGCTACAGTACCTACAGGAGAATTAATGGGAAAATGGCAATAGTTGATAGAAGGTCCTCTGAAGATGTTCATGTTCAAAAAGCAAATGTGATTTTCAATGTATTTGTAATTACATTGTTTTGTGTGAGATATCTAGCTGTAAGTAGAGAAATGTGGTACATTCTGTAAGCATTTAATGGTTCTCTTCAGTTAACGAATATATCTTGTTTTCTCAAGGTTTCTTTCCTGGCCTCTCTTTGTCAATTGGAACAGTTGTCAATTATGAACAATCCTTGTGTGATGGCCACACCTTCTCTCCCTGGCTTTGACTACAGGCCATACATTGTCAGCTGGTGTCTGAACCTTAAAGTTCTTGATGGATATGTGATTTCTCAGAAGGAAAGGTGACATCATATCATCAAATCTCTGAAATCATGAAGTAAAGTTTGGCTAACCTGAAGTTGCATTTTTATGTGACAATAAATGGAAAAGTACTAATGATCTGAAATTCTGTTTGCCTTGCTAATGAGATATAGGCCAATTAACATTACTGCTTTTGCTAAATTTTTCATCTGTTACACTGGAATTATTATGTGAAATCACAAGTTTATTTAAGTAGAAGTATAAAGTTAAGGTTGGTTTTGTTACTTAACTCACAGTAGCACTTTTACAGAGAAAAACTGTGGTAGCAATTTATCAATGGTCTGTTATCCCTTCCGAGTTTACAGCCTCTTTGACTTTGCAGAATGAGACAATCGGCAGATACTAAAGCTATTATCTTGGGGAAAGCTCAAATGTGCCCTTTTATGAAGGGTCTGATTTGCATATGCATTTCTAGATTTGGCATTTTTTGGTATCAATTAGTTAAATATCACTTTGCTCACATCACTTCTTACTGTACCATTGTGGTCATTATATCACTATGATATCTGTATGACAGTAGAGATGTCGTCTTAAAGTTCTTGACATCAGAACAGTCCGAGTGTATAAATATTATCCAGTATAAGCACGTTCTAGTCCAATATATTAACACATTCCAGGACATTACTGTCATATTTCCCAATTAATCTAATAAAAAGCTGCCTTTTTGGTCAAAGGCAAACCACTCCTGTTTCTGTTTCACCATAGCATATTAGGAGGTTACCAAAAAGCTGCCTGTAAGAATTCTAGAATTTTTTTTTCATGGCTAATAGTTTTCTGTATTAGTGGTATTATTATATTTTAACATA